GTGTGTGTGTGTGTGTGACAGGTCGCCATCCCGACCAAAGAACCAACACAGATGTTGAAATAAAACAGGATCTCCTCTTGCTGCAGAATTAAAAAAAAGTGGTATTAAAATTTCTATCAGTTGATAGCCTAGTAATAGCACTGATGAACCATTGGCTAAGCCACAAAAGTTATGGTAACTGCACGAGGGCATCAAAGTCAAATCCTAAGGGACATATATGCAATTATGCTGCCATGAATTGATTTGTTGTTGAAACTAGGTACAGCTGTTAACCCTTGTTGGTGCTCTCCCTGTAACGATCCCGAATCCGAGCAGCTCATACCATCCAGGTCATGCAGAAAACCCACGATGGTCAAAGTAGACAAGGCGTCAAGGCAAACTAAGAAGAACAGTAGTAGTAGGAGGATGCTCTCCAATAAGAGTAAATTGCCACAATGTCTGCTCTCGCCTGCCTCCTTTCATTGTAAGATCTCCTCTCTTTTTTTTACGCCACAACAATCATCAATTTCTACCTCTATCAATGAGGGAGTCAATGTATCTCCTCGCAACAACTCGCCAATCATGTGAAGTCACTCTCCAACGCAGTTTCACTCTGGTGCGTTGGATAATAACTCCACTCAATGCGTTGCAACTTGCCAACCATTAGAAGCAAATCGTTGTTCTTCCTCACATGACGACATCACAAGGTAAGACCACGTAACCCTCTCTTTCTCTTTCTCTCAAGAGTCTCAACTCACCACAGGCTATGATCACGATCAGACGCGAAGCGTCTGCTTGAGTACCCCTCCAACCTCACTCTCTCATGCTGAGCTATGGTGCACGTGCACCTTCTACTCTAGCTATGTCTACTCTTACTCTCACTCTGACTCTCTGTGTCTGCCTGTATCCAACCAGCACTTGAGCAGCAGCGCTCCAGCCTTCAAATGGCGCGAGGCAGAATGAATGAACGAGTTGATGCAGGCACAGTTTTAGTATTTTTTGTCAGGTTGCCTCCGTGGTGGCGGGGATGTCCCAATCTGTACCCCGAGAATTTGTTGCAGCCTTTGATGATAGTTGGAACGAGCGGGCGTGTTTGAAAACGGTCGTAGCACGGGACTGTTGGTTCTGGTTTTGGGGCCGGAGGGCTGATGCTGCGGTACAGGCTGGGATTGGACTCCCTCTGGGGATCTCCGATTGTCCATGCTGTGTTGCTGGCTACCAAAGGGATGTTTCCCGGCCAGCATGGTTTTCTCTGTAGAAGGCTCACAGCAGGGGCCTGCAAATGCAACATACAGCCTCCCTCGCCTTTGGACGTCTCGTGCCGGTCGGGGTAGGCCTTCCCTGCTACCTTTTCTATTTTGTTATGATCCTGGCCAATTTCGAGATACACATGCATCAGATAGTACAATGTCGTCCAATTGCAGAAAGAAATGAATGAACTTGAGAGAAGAGAGAAGGTTAGAAGAAGAAGAAGTAAGAAAGAAGAAGAAGATGATGTACACCAGCATAGACAAATGATAAAGCTCTTCTTCTTCGCTCAACCCTCTCTTCCTCCTTATCTCCTCCTCTCTTATTCACACAAGAAATAATAATACAATGTTGAATAGCTGAACCAGAATCGAAGTCCGAATCCCTCTTCTACTGCAGGTATCACTTGACGTCCGCCATAGCCATGGCCGCCTCTCCCACTCTTCACTCTCATAGGCCGAGGCTATGGCGGACTACTAGGCCTTGCCCAAATGCCCAAAGGACAACCCAAAGCAGCTATGGCGCTCTAGCTCAGGCCGCCATGCCTGACTCTGCCTCGGAGCTTCTTGGTGTAGCTCAACCCCAGCTGGGGCCTTCCTGCTGCAGCGCCCACCAAGGTGATGAAGATGGATGCCACCATAGCCAGGTAAGTACCTCTGGTGCTCCTCCCCCTTCCTGTTCGTCTTCCTCCTCCGAGTCCTTGCTTCTTCCCCAGCAGCGCTGCTCCAAGCTAGCGCTGCTCCAGCCAGCGCTCCAGCCAGTGTGTCGCCAAACTTGCACACCGACAATGAGGCTGGGCTCTTTGCCCGGCCTGGAGATATAGCGGCATGCTTGCCTCTCGGACGGTGACTTCCAGGCCGCTCGGCCTCCCAAGCAACCGGTACCTCCTCCCTTTCGGAGGGAAACATCATTGCATACTCTGATATTGCCCCTACAGGCCCTAGACTCAGACTGGTACCCGCCTAGACCTAGCCTACAACAACTGGGCCTCTAAAAATGCCACTTTTGTCTTCTTCTGCTCGGCCTCCAGTACCCGGCACATCTACCGCTTCAGGGTGTGGTACCGGCCTACGTGCTACTTGAGTGTTTCCCCGCTGCTTCAACTGCCGCGGGCCTCTTACCCCGCCACTTGAGTGTTTTTCCCCCGCTGCAATCCTCAATGCCACGGCCACGGTAAGTACTGGCCCTGAGAGCCCAACGAACGAACAAGTGCCCTTGCGGGCCACACACACACTCAAGCCAACCAGCACTCAGACAAACATGCAGTCCAGCATGCGTGCACACACACAGACTTAGAGAACTTGGTAACAAGCGGGAAACTCAGCAAGGCATTCAGTCTATGAGCAAAACTCAGAAATCAGCCGTGTGTTTCAGTCCATGTCTGGTCGGGTCATCACACTACTCCCCCCTCAAGAGCGAGGTCCCTTCGGGCGAGTAACTCATTCTGAGTCCCCGACAAACGCATCGTAGGCAAACAACGCAAAGAGATTTCGAGAATACTCTGTCGCAGTGAGCTTGGCAGAGATTTTAGGTGCATCATTAGTGGCGATTTGTCGCTCGTAGGCTTTAACAACGCGCGGTGCGCTGCGCAGCAGTTCCTGCTTGGAAATCCAGTATAGATCATCCAACGGGTGATACATGAAATGAACCTGGTACTGTTTGTTATGTCCCTTCCCTACGTGCTGTTTAATCCTGTCTATCTCATGTCCGCCATTGATTGCACGAGGAATCATGTCTTCACGGTAATCAAACGATTTAGCATCACTGTGGAGATATAGTTTCGATGCATGAAAAACGGGATATGTGCGCAGATGAGGTGGCACATCAACTACGTATGAAGGGCCAAAGCTATCTTCACCAATCACATCCAGAACTTCCCATGGACCATAATAGCATGGGAGAAGTTTGCTTGAGACTCCCTCTTCCTCTGAAAATGCAGACATCTTGTCCCAGACATAACTTCCCACCTCAATATCTGAAGGTCGACGCTTCTTGTTTGCATGATGGATCATGGCATACTGTCGCTTGGTCATTGCTGCAATGGAAACTTTGAGCAAGCGATCGTACTTGGCCCTGAAGCCAGGCCTGCCGGGTGTTAAACCAGCTGGCTGCTCAGGGAATAGGTAGGAGAGCGGGTTATGAATCTGCCAACCGTAATGCAGCCTGTTTGGTGTCATGTCGATGGCAGAATGAATGGAGTTGTTGTACAACCCCTTGACAGGATACAGCTCTTCATCCCATGTTTCCTGATCCGGAATGATTAAAGCGCAGAGAAGTTGGAACACAGTCTGGTTGATTTCCTCAGCCAAACCGCTGGCTTTGGGGTGTCGACCAGATGTCATGCATAGCCTGAGGCCAAGGAGTTGGGACGTGAAGTCTTTCCATTCAGTGTTGATGAAGCGCGGGTCCTGATCACTAACGAGAGTTTTCAGGGTTTCGAACTGCAAAATGTACTTCTCTTTGAACTCACGGATCACCAATTCAGTTGGAGCATGAAATGGAAAAGGAATCAGATTAAGAAATTTAAAGAAGCGTTCAGCAATCACCATGACTTGTGAATAGCCATTCTTACATACCTTTCCCATGTCGGTGAAGTCAATAGAGACACACTCCCCGGGACCATCGGGAATGGGAAGCGGTGTAAGTAGCCCCATGGGCTTTTGTCTACATGGTTTGATTCATTGACAGACTTGACATTCAGCCATAAACTTTTCAGCAGATCCCTTCATGTAAGGCCAAACAAATTGTCTCAATAGGTTTCCGTAAATCTTTGCCATGCGGAAGTGTCCACTCCGGCCATGAGCCAAGTCCAGAAAGTGCATGCGGAGACGCTCATGGTTGGGCACACACAAACGGTCGTGATTCCCGTAGCGACGGAAAATCAGTCCTCCATACTCGTGAAAATCAGGCTGACTGTTGGGATCAGCCTGCAGCTGCTCAAGGATGGGACTAAGGTCCGGATCCTTGGCAGTGTGCTCTACGATCTCCTCCCTCAGTTTCTTCCGGAGGTCGTAGGAATTCACAAGGCAAGTTATGCACTCAGGGTGGCGAGACAATGAATTGGCAACTCAGTTATAACAACCCTTTTTGTGCCTTAACTCAAAGTCAAAAATGTCAATTTCATGGAACCAGCGAAGTAATGTAGGGGACAGGGTAGTTTGTTCTTTGATCCACTTTAAGGTCTCATGATTTGAGAACACTTTGAAGTGGCGTCCCAAAAGATAGTGCTTCCGATGGTCCAAAGCCATACGCAAAGCATAGAGCTCGCGCATGTAGGTGGAAGTGGCTACCTTTTCGCTGGGCATGCGTTTGTTGTAGTATTCGAGAGGCCGCAACCCATCGCCGTCATCTTGCTGCAGTACTGCGCTAATTCCATACTGTCTTGCATCCATAGTAACTACGAATGTCAGTTTGGAATCTGCAATGCGGAGTACAGGGTAACTTACCAAAACTTATTTCAACGCTTGAAAGGCGTCCTCGCATGCGGTATCCCAAGCGTAGGGAGCATTCTTAATTGTTAATCGGGACAACGGGCGAGCAACAATAGAGAAGTTGGGCACAAACTTTTGTTAGTACGACGCGAGACCAAGGAAAGAGAGTAGTTCGCGGATGTTCACGGGCTGAGGCCAATTGCCTATGACCTCCACCTTGGTTGCTCAGACTCTAGGCCTGCAACAGACAACCGATGCCCAAGATAAATCATGCTATCCTTCTCAAACTCAAATTCCTCTAAGTTTAGATGAAGTTGCGTCTTCTTGAGGATGGTGAACACTTCCTCAAGGTGCTTTATGTGTTCCTCCATGGATTTGCTGAAGATCGGTATATCATCAAGGTATACCACCACGAACCGACCGATCTGTTCGTGGAGGACCTTGTCCATGAGGCTTTGAAAGGTGGCCGGTGCATTCGTGAGACCGAAGGGCATTACGGTAAACTCATAAAGCCCATTGCGTGTTATCAATGCAGTCTTTTGCTGGTCCGCAGGATCGAGTTCAATATGGTGATAGCCAGACTTGAGATCGATCTTGGAGAAGACCTTGCACCCACCTGCAGCATCAAGCAAGTCATCTATGCGAGGCAATGGATAGGCGTTCTTTCTTGTGATGCGGTTTGGACATTGATAGTCAATACACATGAGGAGCTTGCCTCCTTTCTTCGGGACAAACAAAGCAGGGGCACCAAATCAGACTCACTAGGCTTGATCCAACCCTTGTCAATCATTTCATCAATTTGTCGCCTGAGTTCCTCCAACTCAGCGGATCCCATTCGGTATACACAACCCTCTGGAGGAACAACACCTTCGACCAACTCGATGGTGTGTCGGCCCGATCGCATGGGAACCCCACGTGGTTCGGCCAGAACTTCTGGGAACCGATCAAGTAGGCTTTGGATACTTGTCGGGACCGGTGGGAGTGAAGGGTCAGCAAAAGGGTCACCTAGATCAGGTCGCAGGTTGCGAATGGAGGCGACCGAATCTGAAGTAGAATCATTTAGATTAGGCGTAGGTAAAGAAGTAGAAGGGCTAGAAGTAGAATCACTAGATGAAGTAGTATTGGTGCTATAACCACAAAAGTTGATGGCACATGAGTAGAGCAAACAAAGACAACATATAATTGTTCATCCTCTTTGTGCTTGCGCCATTTCTTCCAGAACTGCATGGCATTCAGAAAAGTCACTGGGGACTCGTGCTTCTCATCCAAGAGGACGGGAAGCTCGTTCCCTTGAGCATCTTTGACCATGAAGAGTGACTCCTTCCACTTGGTCCATTCGCATTGGGACTGGAGCCAGCCCAAGCCAAGGACATCGTCGAAGGGACACTCGTCATGGACATAGAAGTTCAAAGCGTGGGTGACGGGTTTTCCTTTGTCAAACGTAGTGCGCACACCTTTGACTGCATGCGTAGAGGAGACAACTTCCTTGTTGCCTACTTGGGTCCGGACGGGGTTCTGCAAAGCCACTTGCTTCATTCCCAAGCCCACTTTGCGTATCCCGTGTGGTGACATAAAGTTAGTAGTTGCACTACAATCAATCAAGACACGGAGATAGCGGTGGTTTATAAGAAGAGAAGTTTGAAGAAGATCAACTTCACTGTCCCTTGGGCACGTTGGTGTTTCATCTAAGCCCAATGCTCCAAGTGGTAGTGGAAGTCAACCGTCTCAGACTCCTCCCAAGGCTCAACATACAAAGCATGGCACACTTCAGCCTTGGAATCAGCAGATGATTGGGCTTCAAGGGAGGACTGCTGATTTGTATCAGATTCAGTCTCCCTTGCCGTAGAGGATGTTGAAGTCAACTCTACGCCCGGTTCTGGTTTCCCTGCAGCCTATAACATTCTTGAACTTTATGGTTCGGTTTCTGGCAATGCAGGCATACCCCTTTCTTGAGTCTAACCCTCCAATCATTTTCAGTGATCCGGAGATCAACCCATGGTTTAGTGGCTGCATCCTCCGGTTTCGCTGGGATTTTGACTCCCTTGAGAAGTTGGACATTCTTTCCTGAATTCCGGTTCGGTCCCTTTACGTTAGCAGACTTTTTAAAGGCATTTAATTTTTCCTCTTCATTATTCACATCAGAGTCATGGGTTGAAGAGTAGGCCGTGTCAGGGTCTTGTTCTTGGTCGCCACCAAGAGTGGGGTCGTCTGCATAGGCCTCCTCATCGGCCTCCAACAGGTCATGCACAGTAAAACGGTTGCTGCCTCTGAACCGCCTGCCACCAATAGGCTTTTTGCTGCCTGTTTTGGTAACGAGGTATTGTGCCTTAAGGCTGACCACATCTTGCATGAGGGAAAACCAGTTCATGTAACCAATAAGCTCTTTGCCTAGGCGATGCATGTAGGTAGTGGGATTCGTACCTTTCACAACATCCAAGCATGATTGTGCAGTCATTTCCAATCCTGGAGTAGCAAAAAGTCTGCTGACAAACAACTGCAAATTATGCATGGTGCTTGTCCACTTGTTGCGCTTGAGATCACCAAGTCTCTTTCGGGTTCTTGCGGCAACATGTGGATCCTTAAATTGTTTGATAAGGATCTCCTCAAGTGTGGCTACGGGCGTGGCTTTGAGCCACTGTGTCAGATTGATCTTAGTGTACCTGGCTTGCGTGGCTTGCACTTCTAAGAAGCCCCGTACGGCGGGCTCGACGTTGATCCCCATGATCAAGGACTGGCTCACTGGTTGAGTTCCCACATCTCGAAGTAAGCTCTCATGGAGCTGATCCAGGACTCAACGTCTTCTTTGTCGTCGTACTTAGACGGTATGGGAATCGCCTTCCTGTCCACATCAGGACTGATGTAGCCGGCACCAGCAATTGCTGTTTTTGAACTCGAGGCTGCAGCAGTTGCAAAATTTCCTGTGCCGTCACTTGTCGTAGCGGCAACAGTGTCTGCACCTACTTCAGGTCCCAATGGAACCACACTTTGCGAAGAAGTAGAGCAATGGAGAGGAGCGAGGACAGTTTGGTTAGCAGCATTGGAGGCAGGAGGTAGATTGAGAGAATTAGGAGTTTAATCCTTCTGCAGATTTGCCATCTGCCGCATTTGATCCTTGTGCTCTTTGGTCATTTCAGCCAGTTCTGCCCGCAGCTCACCTCTGCCGAGAGTTTGGTGATTTGTTCAGGGATGTCACTGAGTAGGTGACAATCTATAAGAGCACGTACATATGCGACTATCTCCTTCCTGACCTCAGTGTTAGGCAAGGAGGAGACTGTTTTGAGGACGGCCTCATGGTCTGCAACAACGGTTTTCCGCTTTTCCTCCTCGGCTTTCTCTTCCCTTGCCAGTGCCTTCTCTAGAGAGTTTGGGACAATGGTTTATCCTCCTCTACGGCTGCATCCAGTTGGGCCTTTAAGGCCACAAAAGCCTTTGTATTGCCCATTTCCGCAAGTCCCTCAAGATGGGGGTTTTCACTCTCTCTTCTCTCTCTCTCTTCCTTTTGTCTGCGAGTCTCTACAAGCATCAAAATATGAACTTAGGAAATAGAAACAAATTGAAAAGTTCAAAGACGAGAAGGTAGACCTCCTAGCCAAAGCGGCATTACATTTGGACTAGAGAGCAGCAAACCACAAAAGCAAAAAACAAATTCAAAGGAGAGGCCTGATCCAACGACCCAGTCTGATCAGACTGCATACGAGGTCCTCTCGAGTCCAGTCTGACCAGCTCCGTGACCGTTCAACAAATCAGATGACGAGTGACTAAATGCAACAATGGAGAATTGAGTGGTGTATAGGGTGCGAGTCAAGCCACGGATGGTGCGATCAAAAGCATGCGAAACGTCTCAACCGAGATCCCCTCGGCAGTGGGTGTTTTAACCAACAAGAATGAACTTCGGATCTCAGTCAGGAAGAGAATGGACTAATGTCTAACAGATTCGGGTCCAAGGGCTCTTCTTGTTTGGGCCCGGTCCCACTGGGTCCCCAGGGGTCCCACGTAGGTCGTGACAGAGTCCCAACCAAGAGGAGTCCCACTTGGACTAAGTTTTTGCCTCTACCATCCTGAAAACGAATTTCAACTTCTGGCAGAACCTACAGACTACAATCGTTCAGAGATGAAAAAACAAAGCACTGTAGAAGGACTCGACATTCAAATCAAGATACTTCGTTTCTCCATCCATCAGGTGAGTAGGTAGTTCACACACATTCAACCATACAATCAAGACCACAACGGAGTAGGAAAGAAACCCAGAATAACCCCAGCAGGACAATCAATACCATGCACACATACATGGGCATCGCGTAGGTGCACGACACTTACATGAGTGGCCTGAGCTTCGAGATGAATAGAACTCACCCCCCTCTCATATGATCCACCTGACCCCTTCAACGCTACCCCTACACTAGTGTCCTATCTCCTAGGAGGGTCTGACTCCAACACCAAAGTGCAACGTCGGGTCCCCCGCCGATGCTGGAGAACAAAGTAGCAACTTGCGATGTTGAATGGCTGCTGACCCTAAAGTTCACCTACTTGAGGGCAGCCCTTAAGTTGCCAAGTGTTTCCCTTGAATCAGATTCCAGGTGCGAGTGCCTCTCATTGTCGCCTCTCTCAAGTTGCTGCATGAAGCCTCCACGAAATGTCTCACC